CCTTATACAATTGGTAGTAATGGGCTATTTAATGTACATTTACTCATGCCTGCTCTATGTATTTAGTGTTGGGCCGTGAATGGGTAATAATGGGTAGTTTGGGGCACAAATGTGCAATTACGAAAGGATGCTTTAAATAATTGGTAGTTTGGGGACACGCATGTACAATTTGTATCCATCTTACATGACTTCTTTGAGTGGCATTTTAGAAGTTGGGAAGTACAATATAGAACAAGCTCCATCAGCTTTCTGCCTAGCCAATTATGTTAATTATGTTGTTTTCTTTATTACATTGTTACATCCAGTATATATATACTTCCCCCTTCTTCATGTTCCATTATGCTTGACAACGGTACAAGAATCTGTATCGAAACGTCGCACTCACGAATAAAGAGAAGTTGTTATCCATAAAGTTTGTTCTATATTGTCCATCTTACATGGCCGGGTGGCTTGGACTTTTGTTTATATATATTTATCTGTTTATATATATTTATCCGTGAAGATCTTACATAAGGTATTGGGGAATTTAATGTACATTTTTATGTGCAGACCTTATGTGATCGGACATATTAAGCATCGAGTGTATATTTACTTTTGAAGAAATACTGGGCCATCTATTGTACATGTCCCATTCAGAGCTTTAAATGACAATATATACTGGCCCCTGAATGTATCATTACCCCTGCGGAAGTTTCATGGTCAGATGTAGAAGTCTTTGAATATATAATTACCTCTGCAGATCTTTAATGGCCAAATGTACAACTCCCTTAATGTATATTACCCCTGCAGATCTTTCATGACCGAATATACTTGCTCTTAAGGTATATTTACCCCTTTAGATATTTCATGACCGGAGGACCGCCTCCGTGGTGTAGTGGTTAGAGTGTCCGCCCGGAGAGCGGAAGGTCGCGGGTTCGATCCCCGAACGCGTCATACCAAAGACGTTAAAATATGGTACTTGTTGGTCCCTGCCTGGCGCTCGGCATTAATGGGTACAACAAGGACTGGTCGGCTCGGAGTCAGTATAATGTGTCTGAGTGGGGTATTCATGCTTCCCTGCGGCATGGTATCTCAGTGGGCTAGCACTATAAAACCAGCTAGTACTGACTGACTGACTGAGTTTAGTTTTACGCCACTTTTAGTACAAGCAGCCGCAAAGCAGCCGCAAATACACTCGCATTCACGTCGTCATATGAGCAAAATATTCTCCCGCGCGACGTTTAACCCAATTTCACCTCACCTCATGACCGGATGTATTGACCCCTTAAGATATTTACCCCTTTAGATATTTCATGACTGGATGTATTCGCCCCTAAAGATATATTTACCACTTCAGATATTTCATGACTGGATGTATTGGCCCCTAAAGATATTTACCCCTTTAGATATTTCATGACTGGCTATATTGGCCCCTAAAGGTATATTTACCCCTTCAGATATTTCATGACTGGATATATTGGCCCCTAAAGATATTTACGCCTTTAGATATTTCATGACTGGATGTATTGGCCACTAAAGATATATTTACCACTTCAGATATTTCATGACTGGATGTATTGGCCCCTAAAGATATTTACCCCTTTAGATATTTCATGACTGGCTATATTGGCCCCTAAAGATATATTTACCCCTTCAGATATTTCATGACTGGATATATTGGCCCCTAAAGATATTTACGCCTTTAGATATTTCATGACTGGATGTATTGGCCCCTAAAGATATATTTACCCCTTTAGATATTTCATGACCGGATGTATTGGCCACTAAAGATATATTTATCCCTTTAGATATTTCATGACCGGATGTATTGGCCCCTAAAGATATGTTTACCCCTTTAGATATTTCATGACTGGATGTATTGGCCACTAAAGATGTATTTACCCCTTTAGATATTTCATGACTGGATGTATTGGCCACTAAAGATATATTTACCCCTTTAGATATTTCATGACTGGATATATTGACCACTAAAGATATATTTACCACTTTAGATATCTCATGACAGGATATATTGGCCCCATAATGTATATTTACCCCTGCAGTTTCTAAATGACCGAATGTACTGTATCATGTATGTACATTGACCCCTACATAATGTACATGTACCACATTAAGGACCATTAACCATCTAAACAGTGCTCCTGTCCACGTGTTTCCCATTGTCGTCTGCTCTCCGATGTTTCCAGGCCTTCATTTGACGACATAAACAAACCGGGCCGTCCGACAAGAGAGACGGCCCCGCCGAGATCGCCGCGTGTGACGATGTCACCGTGTCAGAAGCCGTCATGGAAGATGAAGCCAGGTAATCACCGGGGCTCCTGTGCTGAAGTTGCCTATTCATCTTTACTATGGATTCCCACCCGTGCCGTCTAGGAAAACTGAAAGCCTTACAGTAACAAACGACGGGATATTAGATATATACACTTTCAGCACTCTAACCAATATAACCAATTTCCAAATCGGCATTAATCTTACGGGATAAATACCCTACACTCTCCCTTATCAGCAGTAATCTGTAATTGTCATGGCGGCCTACAGATAACCGTGTCCGGTTTATACAAACCGGTGGTTAATATTATGAGCAACACTCCAATACGGAGTCACTAAGATCAAATGAAATAGTAATGGTTAAATATATGATGCAAAATTTGTGAATTGATTGTTGAATTGTAGGACTTGCAGGAGGGGTAAGATGGTCTAATGGGATGAGCGTTCAAAGACTTGAGTTTGATTCCATGGATCGAACGACTCATTTCATATCCATATAATTCTCTTCTTAAGGAACATTGAGTGGGTGAGTGAATGGATTTTTACGCCACCATCAGCAATATTCCATTGGCCTGTAAATAAACGTGCCAGAATTTGGTAGGCCAGTGGCTGATGGAATGAGCAACGATCAACGTCGTCCAGGTGAGGTCATTTGTGGTCATTCTTACGTCAAGCTTCAGACTTTAGTCACGATTCGGAGCTGGAATACTTCGAGGTGTATCCGAGGTGTAAGTGGGAGACGAGAAGCGCATCATTAGACCAAGAAGCGGTCATATATTTTAACGTCTTCACCAAAACAAATAACCGATGAATATGCTTTTGTCGTCGATCTCAATAAATAATTTCATCTCTATAATTGTATAACACGTGTCTTGTGAACATAGCAAATGACTTCGGAAGACACAAAAAATAGTGTCAAAAGAAATGCGATATTATTGTTGTGACGAACACGACCCCATTGGGCTTCCGTACATTGTAACACTATAATGAAAGTGATGTGGAGCGGAATGAATAAGTGCGGAATGTGACCACAGAACCAGTTCTGGTAGTTCGCCAAGACAAACATGGGGCTGATCAAGGGATAATGTCGACACGGATCTCAATTCATTCCCATTCATGTTCTGTGTCCTTGTCGTCTGTAGATAAAGATAGAGATTGGCGGGAAAGCAAACCCGTTCCTTTGTTCAGCCAGCACGTCGATACTCACCATGCAGAGTTGCGTCCCTTAGTAGAGACAGGAGAGGTTATTCGTGTGTTTTAAACCTAGTCAGTCCCTACCTGTCTGTGAGAACCACGGTGGAGCTCCTCGGAAATTATAAAAGTGTTCTTCGACCAGAAGCTGGGTCATTCCTGTGCTATTCGTCTAATCCCCCTGTGGCTCTGTGCTTCCCTCCCCATCTAATCCGTCTTCTTCACTCATCACTGGACTGTCTGGTCCCGACCGATACAGTTGCGGTCAAATAGCTGGAATATTGCTCAGTGCGACGTTAGGGTTAGATGGCTTGTTGTTTAACCGCACTCAGCAATATTCCAGCCATATGGCGGCGGTCTGTACGGCGAGTCTTGACCAGACAGTCCAATGATCAACAGCATGAGCATCGATCTTGGCAACTGGAATACGACGGAATGTGTCAACCATGTCAGCGAGCCTGACCACCTGATCCCGTTAGTCGCTCTTACGACAAGCATGGGTTGCTGAAGATCAGTTCTAACCCGGATCTTCACGGGTACATGCGACGTTAAACAACAAACGCATACGCAAAAACATTGTATCCTGGTGCACAGGAGGCCTGGACATCGTGTTCACAATGCAAGGTTTCATCCTGAGGCTCGCCAGAAACCTGTAATCGTGGAAGCAATTCCAAGATTTGTACCGGTTATGTTACATGTTACATCGGTCTTCAGCACCATATCGTAGGTTTGGCTGTAGTGTTAACTATCGTAGACTTGGATCATAGCGCCCTCTTCCTAACACACACACACACGCACGCACGCACGCACGCACGCACGCACGCACGCACGCACGCACGCACGCACGCACACACACACACACACACACACACACACACACTCACACACCATTTCACTGGGCTATGACCTATCAAGACTATGCCCGACTAGTGCCGATTCGTTGCCTACGATGTTATCGTTCTCAATCGGCCAGTTTTGGTTTATATTTTCCTTTTCTACGCAGTATCTACGGTAAATCTACGTAATAGACGATGAAGAGACTGTAGACGATAACACTGCGATTGAGCACCCGTTGTTGATACGATTGCACCTACTATTGGCCGATTGGCTACGTGTAACTCACGTTTCTGCGGCGATATATCTACGATTCACTCCCGATTCCTCACGATGCTCGCCGACACAGTGATGTAGGGCTTACGATATCGAAGACTCATTGCCGTAATTACCGGTTACATGCGAAAATTACCGATCGACGCCGAGTAAAGTATGTATAATTGCCGAGTAAGAACGTCCAATCGGCCTCTAAACCACAAAATGGACCCGATTCTGGGCTATAAAAGCTGACGAAGACAGCCGATTCTTATTATCTAGCAACATGCTCACAGCTGCACAACTACTTCTTCTGCTGCATTAGTATATGGGATTGGAGATAGATATCTATCAATACAAAAGAAACCAGGAACCAAAAGGCAGAAGAAAACAGAAACGATTTTGGGTACGTCCGAATTTGAGGTTGGAAGGAAGATTGAACTTTGGAAACTATGACAATCTCCTATCTGAACTCGAAGACATTCGAAGACACGTCTTCTTTCTTCAACTATCTGCTAATGCCTTCTGATATGTTTGATGAACTGTTTAATTCCCTGTCTCTCAGACTTACCAAAAAAGACACCAACTTCAGGAAAGCTCTGCATCCTGGTCTGAAGTTAGCAGGTACCATAAGGCATCTAGCCTCTGGAGACAAGTACCCCTCCCTCTCCTACCACTGCAGAGTGTCAAGACACACCATAGCCATCTTTCTCCCAGGAGTGTGCCAAACCACCATAGACCACTACAAGGATACAGTGATTGCATGTCCTGTCACTCAAGGGGATTGAAAGTCCTCATTCTGTTGGTGCCCTCGATCGAAAGCACATCGTGATTCGTAAGCCACATGGTAGTGGAAGCCTCTACCACAACTACAAGGTTTCTTATCCATTGTCCTGTTGGCCCTTATAGATGCTAATTACAGATTTCTATGGGTGGACGTCGGGGGCCTGGGTCATATGTCAGATGCATAAATCTCCAATGCCTCAGAGTTGAAAGAGTGTATAGAAGATGTCAGCATATCCTTGCCCGAACCTGAACCATTGCCAAATGATGATCTGGTTATGAGTTACTTCATGCCTGCAGATGATGCATTTGCCCTTCGTCAATACCTAATGAAACCCTACTCAAGAAGAGGTCTGTCAGAAGCTGACCTGATTGCCAACTACAGGATCTCCAGAGCAAGAAGAGTCATGGAGAATGACTTTGGTATTCTTGCAAACCGATGGCAATTTCTTCTCAACACTTCGCAACATGGTCCAGATGTGGTTAGGATTATGGTTGAAGCTGCCGTGTGTCTCCATAACATAGTGCGAATGAGGTACACAGGGTTGCAAGACTGACTGAGTTCGGTTTTACGCCGCTTTTAGCACTATTCCAGCAATATCAAGGCGGGGGACACCAGAAATGGGCTTCACTCATTGTACCCATGTGGGGATTCGAACCCGGGTCTTCGGCGTGACGAGCCAACGCTTTAACCACTAGACTACCCCACCGCCCCCACAGGGTTGCAAGAAACCATGGTGGATAAGGAGGATGCTGAACACAACCTCATCTCTGGGCAGTGCCGTAGTGTTTCTCGTCCTGAGGGACGGTAGAGAGCGCACCCTGGCTGTCTTCTGGTGGTGGGGTAGGTGATCTCACCCTCTTCCTGTTGGCTGTTCTCTTTGTTGTTGCCATGTTTCGATGTTTCCATTACAGCAGTTGAAATTGGAGTGATGTTGACTTCGATCGACGGTGCTTTTATACCTTTTCTATCAGTCGGATGTGAATCGTGCAAATCGTGAATAAAACGTGATCATTACGTAAGTGGATCGTGTCGTATTTGGGAGGAATCGTTCTGATGCGTGGCTTTCACAGCTCTGCTTTGTTAGGCAATTAGCTTGTTGGTTCCATGTTGGGTGAGGTGAAATTGGGTTTAACGTCGTGATTGAGAATATTTCGCTCATATGACGACGTGCATGCGTGTGTATGTGTATGTGCGGCTGCTTGTACTAACCCAGACAGAAGCCGGTTTTATAGTGCTAGCCCACTGAGATACCATTCCGCAGTGAAGCATGAATACCCCACTCAGACACATTATACTGACTCCAAGCCGACCAGTCCTTGTTGTACCCATTAATGTCGAGCGCCAGGCAGGGACCAACAAGTACCATATTTTAACGTCTTTTGGTATGACGCGGTCGGGGATCGAACCCGCGACCTTCCGCTATCCGGGCGGACGCTCTAACCACTACACCACGGAGGCGGTCTCCATGTTGGGGATCTGTCGGGAGGTAATCGTGGTTGATCGAGTGTGAAGCGTGGCATTACGGGGATGACACGTGGTCGTTTCTGCCACTCAATAATCGTATGACTCGTTCAGGCTTCATCTACGGTTAGGCCGATTGCTCATGATGCTTGTCGATGCATTCCCGATTAACTCCCGACACACTGGCGACTACCCCGATCAGTCACGCATAACTTACGATGCTTTTCAATCGGTTCATGTTTTTGAACCTGTTCAAAAACTTGGGCCGATTAAAAAATCACTCCCAGATTATGCAGACACACTTACGTATCTTGCTGGTATATTTCCGACATTATACGATCGCTCACTCACTCACTCATGAACTCATGAACTCACTCATGAACTCATGAACTCATGAACTCATGAAGCTTCATCTTGGACCACAAGACAGTGACAGTCTCGCCTACATTATCCATAATTCGTTTATCGGTTTACGTATAGGAAGGCAGCGTCGGATGTCTACCTGGCAATAGATAGTTGCATGGGTTGCATGATCCTCTCATTTCTAAATTGGACTAAGATCTGTCAAACAAAATACGTGCAGTTGGAAGTGATTTTTGGCTATCTCTTATATCTTTAAATATTTCCCCAGGACACAAGACACGAGATGGCTTACCGCGTATGTGATAATAAACATGTACATATGTTTCTAGAAAAAGACCATTGCGCTCTTGGAAGATTTCGACTTGTATATTCAATTCGATAATAAGATAGATGATAGATAGATATATTCAAAGTGTCACGTGAACGATTACATGAAATACAATACACAACGAAAGGAATAAGATACTCATCCATCCAGCCAATAAGGCTTTTGAGACACTATAATCTCTTTAGTGTACATTTTGGTTTAAAATAAGATATCATAAATAGTTAAAATGAGAAAGAATAAACGGTTTTTACAAAAATATAAGTCATCTTCTAAACGTGTTGTTCACAGTAGATGATAAAACTAGCGGGTCTGACGACATTAGAATATTTCATAATTGCACATTGTTATTGTCGTAAGTAAAAACTTCATCCATGAGCTCATATCTAAGATTCTGATAAAAATAACAGTTCAAAAGAAACGCACCTCTTCTTCCTTCCTCACAATCACAAAATGGACAAATTCTCTCAAACTCTCACACACAAGGGGTGGTGGTGGGTTGGGGTTTTTTTTAGAACCCCTCATGGAAACCTCCATTTTGTAATTAGTTTGAAACATTACGTTTCAAATATATTTTCACAAACATTTCAACCAGTCTCTGTGTAGTGACTGTCGAGGATTATTCCGGATTTAATACAGAAAAAAATACATCAGTATGTCTGCCATATTCTTTCTAAGTATCACTATATGTATCTTTTTTTTTCGCTTGATGTATTATAAGTGTCCTTTCACCTCCACGTTAAGAATTTTAGACATTCTGCGAAACGCATGTACGCCTGACTTAAACGCATTCGGACAATGGAAAAATGTGTTCCTCGAAAACATCTTCATCCCGATCCCGAGAATGCTTAACATATTCCTCATAAAGCGTCATCCCAGTGACTTCAGTGACAATGTACACCCACTCCACAGGCACAAAGTACCCATGGGCCCATTTACTGTTTAATGGGGAACTCTTTTACTAATGGGCCATAAAATACTTCATATTGTGATGTATTAATAGTGCACATGCTTATGGGGACTTGGCCCCGTGTCGCCGTGCGTACATTGAAAAGAATCCTATGGGCCATTTGACTGGGCGCTGTCTACCTTAACGAGTCAAATGTACGACAAGAGAAACAGCAGTGGAACCAGTTTAATAGACCACCTTATAGAAAATTGGTATATTTCAGTTGTATGCATGGAAGGGTGAATAAATAACGCTGGTTTGGAGAGGAGAAAAACCTACTGGATTTATTGTGCAGAAACGATAAGCGTTGACGTCCATGTCACCATGCACCTGCTCAAACCGGAATACTTTTAGAACATTGACACCGATTTAGTGAAAAAATTGTTTGCTTGTTTTTTTAACTTATTTCATGCCTAACTCGGCAATATTCCAGCTTTATGGATGGCAGTAGTATGTAAATAATCGAGTCTGAACCAAATAATCCAGCGATAGAAATCATGTGTTCTATTCAGGCAGTTTTCATATCTGAAATCAATCAATTTGAGAGAGATCCGTTTTGAGTAATGAGGTAAGTGTATGTGCGCTCGTACTAACCCGAACTAATATACCTGTTCTGTGTGGCCATCTCACTGAGACACCACGCCGCAGCTTAACTCGGCACACAGTACGCTTACTCCGAGACGACTGAACCTTGTTTTAGCCTAAACATGCCGAGCGGCTGACTGCCTGGCTGACTGAGCTTGGTTTTGCGCCGCTTTTAGCAATATTCCAGCAATATCACGGCGGGGGACACCAGAAATGGGCTTCACACATTGTACCCATGTGGGGATTCGAACCCGGGTCTTCGGCGTGACGAGCCAACACTTTAACCATTAGGCTACCCCACCGCCCCTACATGCCGAGCGAAGGTGGGTAAACAACAAGTACTAGCTTTCAAAACAAAGCCCGTTTTCCAGCTCCCGAAGAATGAAGGTGAGCTACAGAACCTGAATGAGCTCCGAGAAAACCTCCACAGAGCCAACAACTCCTGCATCAGATGGAGCCCAGAGGAGATGCTTTCCTTCCCAGGCATGTAGATTAAGATTCAACACCTGGTGGTCATCTTAGAGAAAGTTATCAATAGGTTAGTATTTTAATTCTCGATCATGACCCACATCACCGGTACTGCAATGTTAAGCGAAGAGGCTGTACAGATATATTACTTTCTAATTTACTGGGTAGGGTAGACATTGCTAGGTTAAGCACATATTTGTTATTTATTATTATGTACAGATCTACAATGAAGTGCATTTGTAAATCTTCTCAACTTCTACGCACATCGCTCTGTAACTGCAATGGGAACTGTTAAAGGAGACTTCAGAATCACAGAGATCGATGTTTGACAAAAGATGATGTCACGTGACTGGTCAAAACATTAACTTTTTAATTAATTGGATGATGAATTGTATATTTTTCTATGTTTGTTATGTTTCTCAAAAGTATTAGAAATAGCCCTTTGAACGGCGAATATATCTCACATATTGCAACCATTCAAGATTTTTTATAGTCGGAATCCATTCTGGGTGGACTTCATTCTGGGTGCAACTTTTGGCGTTCTTCTAGGAATTTTGGGGAAAATAAGCCCAAAAAATCGAGCACACCCCAAAAATATGTTTTTTCATGATGTTCCCTGGCACTGTGCAAGGTATTCTGCTTTAATCCAGCAGGGGAAGGTCACAATAGTGTTAGAATTGAAAATCCTTGATTTCTGGTCGCCATCGTGGACGCCATCTTGGATTTTTCGCAAGATGGGTACAAAAAATCGGGCACACACCAAAAATATGTTTTATTATGATATTCCTCAGCACTGTGCAAGGTGTTCAGTGTTCTGCTTTAATCCAGCGGGGGTAAGTCATATAGTGTTAAAATTGGAAATCCTTGATTTTGGCAGCCATCTTAGACGCCATCTTGAATCTTTCTGAAAGTGGGCCCATAAAATCGGGCACCCCCCAAAAATATGTTTTATCATGATATTCACCAGCACTTTGCAAAGTTTCATGCTTTAGTCCGGCATGTAACGATCAACCTCAAACTCGAACCTAAGCCACTGCACTACATATTGCTGTTGATGCTGTTGATGTTGGTGATAACCAGCAGCACCCTTCCCCACTACCGTACAGATTTCGCATCATTTAACTATGGACCACTCAACATTGTCCGCGGTACCTGCACAAGCTAAAAGTGGGCGCCGCTCACCTGAGAACAGCCCGCATCGTCTAATTGTGCTTCATTGCCATAGAAAAGTAGATTAAATGGGTTGACACTGTCGTCTATGGTTTGCGTGGGGTCCAATGTCTATGATACAAAGCTGAGAGAGCGCATTGTTTATACTGTAAACAAAATAATCATATCCAGTCACGTGGTAAGGAAAACATTTGCCACCACACATCACGTATTCTTAACACCAACTTACTGAGAAACTATGCTGTAGAATGTTTCAGAATTTTCAAACTGCCTTTCACATGTAATTATTTGGAGTACGGAAATTGCTAAATAAACACACACACACACAGACACACACACACACACACTTGAACGTCCACGACCAGTATATCCCACTGCATCATGGAGGTTATTAGGAACAATAAAGGTGGCGTCAAGCTAGCGCTAGATGGGTACTAGGTGGCAGTGTTCAAATAGATCGGCGTTTGATTTGTCCAGGCGTTCTCCACACCAACCTGAATATGGAAGAACCGATTGTAACAATCATCCTTCTGACACTACCAACGTCAACATCACCAAGTTCAGGGCTAAACTGCATTATGTGCTTGGTGATTTACATTTGTGAACTATGAGGTATTACATATGCTATTTATTATATTATATTATATTATATTATATTATATTATATTATATTATATTATATTATATTATATTATATTATATTATATTATATTATATTATATTTATATTATATTATATTATATAGGTAGTATTTTTCCTGTACCACGATTGGTCAAAAAGACCGTCACATGATTGACTACAAAACACGATATTGACTTGAGTTTTCTGATAAATTACGATATTGACTTGGGTTATTTAGGAGATAAACCTATTGTGGGAATCAGAGGTATATAACGAAATTATAATAGCTCTAAATTTCATTTAAAACCGAACGCGTAGCGTGAGGTTTTAAATGAACAATTTAGAGCTATTATAATTTCGTTATATACCTCTGATTTTCCCACACAGTGGGTTTATCTCCATTCTACCATGGCAATTTTATGAACAATTTCAGGTGGAGCTCTTTCTTTGGTTACGAGTCAATGCGTGAAGCGGCCTCACATTCCAATCTCAAGTAGCATCGCCCGAAACGGGGTGATTGGCGGCAAACCGTCAATGACTAACAAACTCCAGATTCAGTAATAACAGATCACGTTTTGTTTTTCAATGCATCAATCACCAATCATTAACTGATAAGTTGGAAAACATATATCAAATAAGTTTAAACAGCTTGGTTCACATTTGAAAATTCCACCGTAGACCCTTTCCCCACCAGAATAATGGCAGCAACCTCATGGCCTTGACCTTTTTCTCGGAAGTCATTGTTTACATTTACGGGCAAATTTGGAAAGATGCTACAGGAGAGCCTCTGACAGTTTGCGCAAGGTTAACCTGATTGTATGACTGAGATAGTCTTTGATATCTAATTACTGGTACTGGTACAAAATTTAAGAGTAGAGGCGCTTTTGCTGTAACGAGAAGTCCGTGTTGTACCGAATTTAGATACTGTTGAATTTTGCGCCCAGTCAACTTGACGATTTCACGCACCTCTACGTCTGCGTGCGACAGCTGTGGTGACTCTTACACTCATGTGTGTACTTTGTGCTCAAATTCGATTCTACGGATATTATTTTCTACATTTTGGAAAGTGTTTTGTGACCTAGTGGCTTCAAAGTGTAGTGAATTCAAATTGAATCGGATTCGCTGGCATGTTCGCGAGTCTGTTGACAAAGAGCCAGATTTGTGGTGATATTTCCGAAAGGATGGATCAGGACATGAGGGTGTACCTCTGGCAAACACACGGTAAGGTAATTAATTATACTTTAATAGACTACTTTGGATCAAGCAGTGTAATGGATAAGAGGGATCATGACTAAGCTAAATAACTTTTTCAACGATATTATACTTTCAGAAAAAAAATATGTTGGGCTAAACAGAACGGTTTGCAGATTCTGTAATTGTGTTTTACTACCGCTAAATTTGAAACAGTACAAATTTCAAAATATCATTTTGTTTGAATTGATAACCCAACTGTTTATTTATGTGGACGGAAAGCATTAAATTTTCTTCGGCGTTGGATGTTAATGCATCCTCCGGTACCGGATCAAGATCAGTGGCGATATCGTTGATGAAAGCTGATAATTAATTTAACACGGAAATTAGCAGTCTGACATAACATAGAATCCACGTAAACATATTTGTTTTTTGCTGAATTTTTATTCGGAAAGCAGACGATGTTTTGATCTTGTTCGACTGAATATTTGTTTCCATGCTTTCGAAGTACTTTTGTATGTATAAACACCTATTGCTGTGATTTACGCAAGTAGTGAGTCGAGCCCGTCATCGCTAAATCCATCTTTAAAGACATGTGTAATTTCCGACAGCAAAATCGCCGTAATTTATCGATGCATCGGAAGGTTGTTTGGTGTCCGCCATGTTGGTGGGCAGACAAAAATAGTGCATTACCGTAAACCATGTATGATTGCGCAAAGAAACAGAGACCTGTATAACGTGATTATATACCTCTGAATGACTTTAATTAACCAATCACAATCCAGTGTTTACTGAAGTCATGGTATTGTTTTAGAATATCATCCTTCTAGGTTTTTGAATCTTCCTCCACGTGTCTGAGAAGGAACAGCCTCTTCTCTGGGCTCCATCTGATGCAGGAGTTGCTGGTTCTGTGGCGGTTTTCGTGGAGGCAAAATTGAGAGTATCTTTGGACGTCGGTGCTGGATGTTCTTCTCCCTTAACCGTGTTATACGTACTGTCTTGACACTTGTTTGTCTCAACGCAGAAGCTGCGTTGTGTATGTAGCAGCTTTTGGTATCAAATATAATTGCTTTGTTGGTCACGAGTGGATGGCCCGTCGCATTTCAGCTGTGTTGCCCTGTTATAGATAATACATCCAAAGAGAGGGTTTTGTGTTTCGACGCGTCATTTCTGTTCGCACCATACACAAGATGTACGCTAAATTTCATTTTTCCTTGCGTAAGCGTTTTTCAAGGTTAAACAACATTCTCTTTCAGACCTTCTGAATCAAAACATCCATTGTGTGCTGTTCATATTTTAAAAAACACGCGTGAGTATCTTCCTTCCAATAAACACACAAAAATGTAAATTGTGCTCCGTGCATGAACGTAACCTTAACATTGATCAACGAAAAGTCTCAATAAGCATTTTTGTAATTTCATAATAGATATATTTTTATTGAACTTTACATGTAGCAAAGTTTTAGTGACATAAACAACATAGTTTTGTATCGTGTCTCATAACTTTATATGAGTGGCGCTGTGCAGTTGTTATGTATAAATTCCTGTTTAATGTTTTATTTTGTACAGCGTTGAGACCGTAAACAATACCCGTCTGAGTATATCAACTCAACACGCTTACTTTGTATTCATCCGAAGCGGGCAAGAAGTAACAGTAAAACGTTGTTATCCACAACAAAGACGTTCTTATCAATAAACGTTTGATGTCTTCGGGAACTTCCAACGTCTTAGACTTTAAAAGACATATTCATGGTTGAAAAATTTATATCCAAAAGAAACAATGTTTTTGATAAATTCTAAAAATAATGGTTTCCTCTATTCCCATTATTTGATCCAGAATGACCATTGTTAACCGCTGAAATTCCATGTGCAATATATACATATATTTGACGTATCAGCAATGTATGCTCGCATATAACTACACATATACTCGAAATTTGTATTGATGGCAACAATAAAAAGAATTTGAAAAAAAAACAACTTCCAACGTCTTACTGCCTATCAAAGACTCTATGAAAGACTCGAGTGTTACGT